ATAGATTGACATAGTGACTTCCCCAACAGGCTCTAGTGTGTCAAGAGGTGTGAAGATGGTACAGGATAAGACAGAGTTCAAATCTGCTGTTCATATGAGTTGTATTCAATTTGACAGCACCTAACAGCAACATGGTAGGTCACAGGTAGTTCTGGTGGCCTAGTGGTAAGAAGCTTCACTGCATGCCCAAAGGCATGCGGTCCAATTCCACCAGCTGCCCCACTGGAGAAGGATGCACAATCTCCTCTCATGCAATTTATTTTCTCTGAAATTCCGTTGGAGGGTCAGCAACTTGATGGTGCACAACAACAATATGGTAATTCTAGGGAGCTCTGGAGGCTTGGTAGTAAGAAGCTGTGCTGCCAACACACACACTTCAAATCCATCAGTTGCTCTACAAGAAAAAGATGGACAATCTCTTCCCATCCAATTTACTGCCTCTGAAAGCCAGCTGCAGGGTCAACTATGAGTTGTCTGTGACTCAATGATACATAACAACAACAAAAATGGTAGTTGTATTTTTTAGTTGTACCATTTTGCATTCCCATCAGAAATTGATAAGGGTCCCAAATTCTCCACATCTCTGTTTCTTTATGTTGGGTTTTTGTTGTTGTTGGGTTGTGTGTGTGTGTTTTAAAGATCTTAGTCATTTTATTGTGTGCCGTTTAGTTGGAATCAACTCATACCTGACCCTCTAGCAAATTTTTAGATGTTTTACATCACACTGGAGGAGACTGCAACTGGTGGATTTGAACTTCCTGCCTTTGTATTAGCAGCACAACTCCTTACTATCAGACCTCCAGAGCTCCCTCTCTAGGTAGCTATCTTGTTGTTGTTGTGTACCGTAGAGTCGGGACTGACTCATAGTTGACTTTCTAGCAGGTTTTCAGACGCAATTGAATTGCACAGGAGGAGATGGCTCCTCTTTCTTTCATTGAACAACTGGTTCCATTAGCCATTTTGGAAGGCATGACATGGTAGCTCATTGCGGTTTTAATTTGCATGTCTCTGTGGGCTGATGACACTGAGCATCTTTTTGTGTGTTTGGTGACTATTTAAATGTCCTCTTTGACAAATTTTCTATTCAAATATTTTGCTCATTTTATATTTGGATTATTTGTCTTTTTGTTTGTTAAATTATTGACGTTTTATATAGATATTTTGGTTATTAGTTTCTTGAAGAATATATAGTTTCTGAAAATATGCTCCTATATGGTAGCTTGTCTTTTAAATTTTTTAGCAAAATTTTGATGGATGAAAGTTTTAAATTTTTATGGATCACATTTATTTGTTCTTTTTGTAGTTTTGCTTTTGTTATTTTATTAGATAATCTATTGTTGACATCTAAGTCTGACAAAGCGGCCTCTGCTTTTCTTGTAAGTATTTCATGGTTTTGATTTGCGTATTTTGGCCTGTCATCCATTTTGGATTTGTTTTTGTGTATGCTGTATGGATCCTCCAAATTTCCGAAGTCACCCTTTACCTTTTCCTTAGATGATTGGGCCAATAGGAGGGTCTTACCCAAGGACAGTCAGTTAGTAGGCTTAACAGTCACCTCTGATTTAGAGCTTAGTCCAGAAAGTGGAACTGAGTCAGATTTCCTCTCTTGGAAACCTCGAGAACCCACAGAGTTCCTCAGCAGATACTTGAGCCAGGGGCGTGTGTGTGTGTAAGGGGGAAGCAGGGGCGTGTGTGTGTGTGTGTGTGTGTGTGTGTGTGTGTGTAAGGGGGAAGCAGACATGCGAGGCACTGGCGAATCATGGTAAATGTGGGTCCAGCATGAGAAGGAAGAACCATGACCTTCAGCTACTGAGAAATCCTGCTTCTTATGCATTGTGACCACTAACTTTCTATGCTTGAGCTAACTTGAGGGTATCCCTTTTCTTAGAACTGTCAGCCTCAAATGATTACAGTGACAGAGACAGATTTCCAATTCAAGGCCCTTTGTACAGCTAGTCCTTCATTATTCCATGCTTCAGGGGACAGATCCCTAGGTAGCACTGAGGATCTAACAGACTGGGAATGAACCTAGAGGCCTAGAGAGAGGTACCAATTTAAAGAAGGTTGTGATAGGAACTCTGTCCTGTTGGGTGTTGCGAGATAGACAAAAATCCTTAATTAATACTGCATGGAACTGCTTTGGGAAACTTTCCTGAGAAATACAAAACACGCTGGAATGAACTGCTGGCTACAGTCTGCTGTGTGTGACATTTTATGTGAAGTCACTAGTTGTCAGTAGCATTGCTCAGTGATAACTGCTCATGTTGCCCTAGATCCTGGGAGGCTCAGCAGGAGAAATTGTAAAGCATACAGGGTTTGTTTTCAGTGTTTTTTTAAATTGTGTTTTTAGTGAAAGTTTACAGAAAAGTTGGATTTTCATTCATTCATTGTTGTACAATTTCCTTCCTCCCCCTCCTCCAGTCCACTCCGCAATACCCCTCTTATTCTGGACCGTTGTCATACAAATAATGCCTAATCATTCTTTTAAACAGTTCTTTCCTTCATCTGTTTCAATACAGTGTTCATTATCTATTTCCTCTTTTCCTAGTTTCTCCCCAAGCCCCCATGTCAGTCCTGTTTTATGACAGTGGTGCATTTGTGCAGTATTTGTCCTTTTGTGCTGAGATATTTTACTCAGCATAACGTCCTTCGGGGTCATTCATGTTGTGTAATGTTTTACAAGTCCATTGGTTTTCAGTGCTGTGTAGTAGTCTATTGTGTGAATGTATGCATGTTTATTGCTGTGTTAAGCACACATGTTTTGAGATTGCAATTACTTCAAAGCCTTTGGAGAAGCCCTGGTGGCATAGTGGTTACATTTAGCCATTATGGTTATATTTAAACAAAAGGTGAGCAGTTCAAACCCACCAGTCTCTCTTCAGGAGAAAGGAGTTGAAACGGAAAAATCAGAAGATTTATTATACATCTCCGCTGTGCTCTGGCCCATTGTCACAGTCGCTGTGTTAATCACCCTCATTGAGGCTCTTCTTCTCTTTCTCTGATTCTCTTCTATTTCCCAGCATGATATATTTTTCCAAGAACTGGCCCCACCTCACAACATGCCCAAAGTATGTAAGATGAAGTTTCTCTATCTTTGCTTCTAAGGAGCACTCTGGTTGTACTTCCTCCACCACAGACCTGTTTGCTTCTTTGGCAGTCGACAAGATATTCAGTACTCCATCAACACAATTCAAAGGCATCCGTTCGTCTGCTATCATCCTTATTTATTGTCCGACTTCCAGGTGCACGCTAAGCATTTGAAAATATTGTGGCTTGAATCAGATGCACATCAGCTCCTAAAGTGACATCCTTGCTTTTTAGCGTTTTGGGAAGGTCTCTGACAGCAGATTTCTTTTGATTTCTGGATTGCTGTTACCATGGATGTTGAATGTGGAGCCAAGGAAACATTGATCTTTTCTCCATTCATCAATATGTTGTATGTTGGTGAGAAGTTTTCGTTTTCTTGATGCTGAGATGTAATCCACATTGAAGGCTTTCAGGATGAAGTCTATCTGGTTAGGTGCTTAGTTATCACAGGGCAGGCACTGCAGGTTTCCTCTTTACGGTTGCTTTCTAAAGGCTTTACAGGTCACTCTTCTGTAACATAATCCAGGCAGTCCTGGTGTCCTTAATCCAGACACTCCTCTGACCTTTCCTCTAAGACCCTCAAACATAGGATTTAGCATAACCCTGTGAAAACTGGAGGTCCATTTGGTCAAGGAAGTAAAATCTCAACACCTGGGAGATCAGGGTGCTCCCCTGTATGGAGCACTTTCCAGAGCAAGAGGCCAGGACCTCAGGTCACTGAGACAGAGGAGAGCTGGCTCTGAGATTTGACGCCAGGCCACTGGGCAACGTCCAGGGTTCTGGTCGTTGAGGCTTCTTCTCTGGATAGAGAAGCACCCGGTTCCTTATCTGAGTTAGGTTACTGAGCTGTGCCTCTGGAAGTTTCAGAGCACATTGTCTTGGATGGGTTCTTTCTCTTCAGCCATCAGTTTTCTGATCACGCTGCTAGCAATGTTCAATTGTGTGCTGTGTGCTGGCCTAGTGCCCCCACCCCCTTCCCCCGCAGCAACCCAAAGCTGGTGCCTGTGTTAATATGATAATGCTGTGATAATGGCTAGGAGATGACTTCAGTTAACTGATTAGACCCTCTGGAGTGGCATCCGAGGTACAGGCTTAATTCTCGCTAGTGAAGAGGTCCAGGGCTGGAGCACAGGCACTGGCTGGGAAATTGTATCCGGGAAAGCACTGAGGGGGAAAATTGGAAATATCAGAATTTCCCAGGTTGCTATTCCATAGGGGCCAAACATCGTTAGCAGCAGCACTAATTACGATCCAGGAGAGTCAGGCCTGGCTGCCTAGCCTGCCAAGCAGTCCTTGAGAGCGGCCTTGGGAGCCAGCATGGCAGAGGCAGAATTGCAGGGAGGTAGGGCCCTGCAGCCACCAGCCTTGGAGACACTGGGAGAGGAGAGACCACAGGGCCCCTCAGATCCAAGTACTGGAGCTCTGTTGCTGAGTGCCTTCTGCTCCTTCTGAATTCTTAGACCAGTACCAAGGATGCAGATGAGACTGCAGGACTGTTACCTCACAGGAATCCAGAGTTGTCTGCACTCAGTTTTCACTTCCTCTCTTCCCATTCTCTTTCACCACGATTGCTGCATTGAAAATTTTCTTGTCAAGGTCACCCATGGCTTCCATGTTGTCAATGTCAGCAGTAAATTCTTTAGTCTTCATCTTACTCGATTTAGAAGCAGTATCTAATATTTATCCTTTTTTCCCCCAAGGACAATTTACATTTATTTGCTGATGATTCTGATGAGACGTATGTCAAAATCAGCAGAAGTTAGAATCTGCTAGGGAAGCCTTTTCTTGCAGGCAGGTAAAGGTGGTCCATGAAGAATAACTGAAGCATCATCTTCAAGCTGTGGCCTTGACATTGGGCAAAGAGCCAGTGGGTGGAGCTGGTCCTTCTTGCCTGGATGGAGGCTCCTGAGGAACTACTCTTGGTTCTGGTATTTGTGCTTGATGTGTTTCCACAGCTTCCCTTCGTTGATGTGCACGTAGACCTTATCTGCTCCTTTATTGAATGCCTGCTCTAAGAACAGGACGCCCATGGCGATGGTGAGGGTGAACGTGGAGGTCCTGTGGAATAGTAAGGAGAACAAATTCACTGTGAATCTTGGGCCTCCAACCGTTCCTTACTTGCAAACTCGTGTGCCCTATTTGCCCTTCTTAAAAGGCTCTCTTAATTTGTTCTTGAGCCTTCTTAGCTGGTTCCTCTTTCTTTTTTTTTTTTTTTTTT